ACAAAATTTATAATATATACTATATATTATAAATTTCTAAAAGTTTAATTAAGATAATTAAATACACTTTTTTTTCCATAGAAAAATTAAAACATGTTCAGATCCAAACATTTTTTATAAATTTTTCTGTTTTGAACGCCTTATACAGCCTTAGATAATTTACTCTTATTTTTGTATATTATTTATTAAAAATTGTTTTGATTTTATTAATTAGATAAAGAGATATTTGTATTTATGTTTATAACGGAAGTATTTTATATTTAAAACTTAAATAAAATAAAATAAAATAATATCTATTATAGAAATTTGCTGGTACAACTGAAGTAAAAAAAAATCGAGCTTTTTATAGCTGATAGCGGCTATGTATTTTCTTCCAGGAATGTGTTATTTTTTCAGCTAAACTATTTTTGAGCGTGTTTTCAAAAATTTAAAAATCTGATTCCACTAAAAATGTATTTTATCATGTTTGGAATATTTACTCTATGAAATCAACCCTGACAATTTTGCCACAAACTTTTGAATTCTAATTATATTAATTTTTCATAGATTTTTTATTTAAAATATAAATGACTACGATAAAATCACTACAATGATAATAGATATTAAGAAAGAGAAGAATTGTCAAAGAAATGTCGTCTTGCTTAAAGTAATCATTATTTCCCAAATAGTTTAGCGTAAGTTTAAAATAACAATATATGGCGGGGTAACGAAATAAATCCAAAAATACAAGATATTTGTATTCATTAATTTTTTAATTATAGTATTGGTATATTGCTTTTAAACCAATATAACTACTATCGAATTTGTTTATCAGCTATTGGCATTGACACTGAGTGATATGTATGGATTTTAAAAACCAATAAAATATCTTATTTTATATTTGATTGTATTGATAGAATTTGAAACCAAAAAAATATTGCCATTGGGATCTGTATAATAAAATGTTGATGGATGAGAATGAAACATTTGTTTGTCTAAATAATTAATTATTATTAAATATCATTAAATATGATATTTGTTTGGTAGATATATATTTTGTAAAGTAAAGTACATATTAAAAAACTAACTTCTTGAAATATTTTAAAAAAATATATATATTTTGAATGTTTTAAGTGGAAGTATGATTATATAATTATAAATATAAAAAACTGACCATGGAAAAATATTTTCAAAAAACCTTTACTTATTATATTATATCTCTTAATCATTTCTACTTATAACTTGTCCTTTAGTAATATTGATTTCTAAAAATAAAAAATCACTTAAAAGTATTTATAAATAATTTATAGAAATATCCTTTAGATTCTCTATCTTTCATTTATAAATTATTTTTCTTCTTCTTCTTACTTATTATATACTATATATTTTAATTAATTAAATAGAAATATATTTTATTTTTTATTAAAAATCACATTTAATTATTTAAACATTTTAGACGCGATCCCATCATAGCTAAATTTTTTTTTCATCGCGAATATATTTGTAGGAAGTCAATATCGAAAAAGTGTCCATTCATTCATCAATAGAAAAAGAAATATACCACTCACCCTCATAATCCTACATTTGCATTTGGCGCAAATTCTCGGCGATGCATTTTGGCTAATATTTGCCCTTCCAAACACATTTTTGCCAAATTCAGCGCGAATTTGAGCTATTTGTGAATGTTGGGTAAGGTTCTTAAATCATGAGTGCGAAATGTTTTTACTGGTATTTCGTTATTTATTAATTTTTTTTAAAAAAAAGCTTTATGCAATATAATTAAAGTAAATTTTGGCAAATATAACATATATTTAATATATTGCTTCTCCCAGGATAGAAGCACTGGGTTCCTGGTTAATGCGCATTTGTATTAGAGGGATTTGTTTTTATAATTTTATCAAAGAACTGATGTACCCGTTAGGTTGTATTACGTGCCCCATATATTATTTAGAGATACAACTGTATTACTTAAAGTAACTTAATTTCGAGTGTATAAATGATATTCCTTGACGAGCAAAATTTAGCAAACTGTCGCTACAGAATACATAATTATATAAGCAGCACAATATCATTTTTTTCGTTATCTTATCTAAACTCTAATCGTTGAGTTCCACTATTACATGGTTCAATTTAGTAATGTTCAGTATTAAGGAAGTAGGAAACACATCAGACCGGATTTCTTAAATAACTCATATAAACTCTGTATATTAGCAAAAAAAAAGAAGAACTCCCTCAAACGGTAGCTGACTTAAATGTATATATAATCTCTAAATATATATATAATAAATTAAATTTTTTAATTTATTTCGCATATAAAATAAAATATTTTTTTATTATAAAAATATCGTATTAATTAGGATTACGGGAAACGCTAAAAATCTACCATTTTACGATCTAATAAAAACAAAAAATTACGATAAAATATTATATAAAAAGTTGTAGTTTTAATTCCATTTATTAATATTATTCGTTGAGGATTGTATTATACTTCCTTGTTTTACTAAATTTCTGGAGTCAACCTACTTAAAAATATGACACTGCCGTGTTCTGTTTCGACTTATTTCTGATACTTATTTATTTTTTAGAACAACTTTTGAATTAGGACATCCTGTTTAATTGTTATTTTTTGAATATATTTTTGTTTTTTTCTCCTCTTATTTTTTTAGGCTGTTTAATCGAAGCTATATAGCTGGATAAATAGTTGGCTACATAGTAAATCGAAAACCAGGACATACTCTAGATATTTTATAAAATATAAAAAACTATCTATAAAATGTTTGGCAAAAAAATTTGACTTTTATCTAGCGCTCTTGAATCATTTCAAGCTACAATATTTGCTTAAACCTTTAAGTTATAGACTTGGTACTTTGAGAGATTCTATCCTGTTAGAAGTCTCGCGGCAATTTTGAGATATACATCTGTAAATTACTCCTAAAATATTATATATATATAAGGGTTTATTTACCTACTTGAGTGTTCGGTAATGATAATGATCGGTTTTTAAGTAACTTAAGCTGGGAGTAAAGATCTGTATCGGGGCTAAATATCATTCCTGGCCCAAAATTATTTTAAAAATTTTGTTATGATTGCTCGAATCAAAATTATTTTCAAAATATAGGCTCGCCTAAGTAAATTCGGGCTCTCAAGTGGGGGGGGGGGGAGATCGGACCGGGCCTTAGATAACTAGATGAGAGGGAGACAATATATTTGGAGGAGCTGTAACCTCAAATTTCACTCGGTTAAACTTGCCTATGTTGCTGCTACTATTACTGTTACAGTTTAATGGAAAGACATAAATTACTATAAATTTTCATTAACTTTTTTATAATAATTACAAAATGATTATTTTATTTTTGTTTTTAAAAAAAAAGTTAAATTTAATATTATTCTCATTAGCTCAATATAAATTTTTATCGTTGTTATATAATATTTATTTATTTCTTCTTTTTTTTTAATCATAATTTACTGCCGCCATAAATAGACGATTTTCTGTAAATTAAATCATGTTACATAAGTAGTTTTTCTTCATTTATTATTACACTTGTTTTCATAAAATATACATTGATTTTAGAAAGAAAAAAATTGTTGGAAAAATATTAAATTTTTTATGTTTTCGAATCGGTTTATTTATATGTTGAATGAATGATTTTAAATTTAATTATAAATTCATTATTACATAAAAAAAATTTAAAAAATGATAAAATTTAATAATATTATAGATTTTTTAGTTGTTCTAAGCAAATTATCTCAAATTGAAAATAAAGTCTAGTTTTTTTTATTAAAACCGCCCATGAATAACCCATCTATTCATATATGATAATTTGATTATATAAATTTTTTTTTGGAAAATAGCATAAATGATTTTGAAAATAAATTTTTTAAAAACTAATAAATCTTAGAAGAAAATTATTAATTCAAATATATATATTTTTTTATTTTAAAGAAAAATATAGTAAATAATATGAGAATGAAATGATGCATAGGTTTTATTATGTGTATTTTAATAAAATTTTCGTTGACTTGTTATTACACATTTTAAAAAAATCAATTTTCGAATGGCAGCTTTAACTCAGAAGATTATATGCCTTGATTAAGACGTAGCAAGGGCCCGGGGTCGATTCTGAAGCAAATCGCTTGGATAGAATTAAGGTAAGGTTTAGAAGGTTAAAGAAAAATGGGGCAGGATTAGATCTGTGCTTCGATGAAACTATCGGCGGTCGATACGATATTTAAAAATCTAAAATTTTAGAAGATCTATTGCGGGTGCCGTTTTCCGATCAGAATCATTCATATTCCAATTCATTCATGGTAGAATCGTAATTGGTGTTTGTTATTGAGTATGTATTACTTGCTAATTTTATTATGCAGCCTGTATTTGATATCTCCACCTATCTTTCATTATCTACATTTAATAATTAAATATCATTCTTTCTCTAAAAAATTTAAGCTCTATTATAATATGTATTCAATCATATATTTTTTTGACATAATGTTTAATTTTTGAAATCGGGGAAGTGGGGGGGGGGGGGTCAAAAAGTAACTATAATTATATTAGTTTACAAATTAATAAACGATGTCGATCAACGGGTAAAGCTGATGAAAGGTAAATCCAATGAACTTTCTATCTTTGGCAATCTATTGCAATTGCATATCAGTAAAATTATAAAAAAATTTCAAAATGTAATTTTTTAGGCTATGACATTTCTTATTATAATTTAGAAAATATTAATTAATAATGCTTACCCTTTTTTCATAAAAATTTCACTTTAAGCTTAATTAATTTATCTAACATTAAAAGATTATTAAACTTTCTTAAATTGAAAAAAATGATTTAGGCCACTACTTTTTTTCCATTAAAAAATATATAATTGTGTAAAAATCTATCAAATATATACTATGTCTATTTTTATAGAAGATTCAATTTTTTTCAACTACATTTTTAATTCCGAAAAAATATCAACTATTTAATTATGATTAATTATCAGTCAACCTTCTCTGCTATTTAAAAAAAAAAATTACAGGTGTATTATACGATACCGACGAAAATAATGACCTATTAGAACTCTTTGTAAAAGAAGCCATAGACTCTGTGAATAATAATGAAGATATGTTGATGGGATCGAAATTGATTTACGATAAGCTATTTGTACATAGCGGCAATAGCTTTCAAACATACAATCAAAGTTTCAAATTTTTTAATTAAATATTATATAGTTGACAAACCGATAAATTTTAAAAAAAAATTATATTTACTATTTGTCTTCGCCTTCGAACTTACCGTGATATTGATTATATAATATTTTACCACTTGCACTTAACGCTTCCACTCTTTCTCTTTTTATCGCCCATATAAGGCACTTATATATGTGTCTTTATACCATTCCTTAACCTTCCCGAATAATTCCCTTCCATCACTCCATCATTGTGTTTCTTGATATCAATGCTTAATATCAAGCGCGTATGCAGGAATTTGCTATGGAAAGTGGGGATAATTAATTTTGGAAGTTAATCAAGAATATCATGTTTCAGAAATTTATTCGGACTAGCATTAGTGACTATCTATAAAACAAATGTCTCGAAAATGGGGGAAAATATAATTAAGAAGCATATTATAATGTGAAATTCAATCTTCTTTGGGATTGAGCTAATTTTTGAATTATTTTGTCAGCGCTAAGTGTAAACTCCCTGAAGATCTAACCCATTCAATCTATTTACAGAGGTAGTGCTTCTCACGTATGTTTTTATTCTTTTTTAAGAAAAAATGTTCTCATTGGTAGAAGTACTAATGGGTAGAGTTAAAATATATAAAACAGAAAGCTAGTCAAGAATGACGGGGAATCACAATATTCCCTATTTTGGATGAATTAGAAATTTTCTCTTTACTTGATCATGAATGAATCAGATCCAAAAAAATATAGAAGAAATTATTATTTATCTATTATCATATAAAGAAAAAACTGATTCCCTATCATTCTTGATCGGCAAAATAAAAAAAATGAAAGATAAAGTAACCAAGTGCTACATACGAACGGTTCAAAGTTATTTGGTATATCTAGAAGAATATAAACATTCATTGTTTGACGAAGATAAACTTATATAAATACAATTTTTTTTAGACTATCATCTACATTTGGCGTTGATTTATACATTTTATGAGCATTGTTTGGGATTAAAGATTGATTACAATTCAATTTCAATAAGAATATCTTATTGCACAAATATAATCCAAGACTTTAATTTTTCTCCTATAAATCAAAATTAACTAAAATATATATCATCTTTATAAAATATTGATTAAAGATCACCATTCAATCTCAATAGAAATTTCTTAATGCCCAAATGATATAATATAAGCTTTAATTTTTCTTCTATCAACCAAAATTCACTAAAATTCATATTATCAGATCAGGATATTTAAATGAGAAATTTTTTTTAAAAAACTATCATTAAATTTCATAAGCAGAAGAATATATAATTATTCACCTTTAATTGCCTTGCTGCGAGTCGAGGTAGACAAATATTCATAGATCAACAATTTACTATAAAATTCGTCATCTATCTTTGTCCTCATTTCCTTAAATTCCAATAAAATGCTTTCAGCTATTCTCATAGTCTCAATTCAAATTGATGTCATTTCTTTAAAAATATCTTTCATAAAATACTTATGTGTAAATAAATAATTTGTTATACATTAAGATGTAAAAAAAAAAGATTTGTAGAATTGTGTCCAATAATCTGCCTGCTCATGCCGAAATGTCTATTTCAGTAAGAGCATATATAATAGGCTCTTCTAACTTTATAAAAACCTTTATATTTTATGGAGGTTTTATCTTGTTAGACAAATTTTTTGTAATATTTTTCTCGGTTGTGGACAAGGAACTTCAGATATAATTGTTTATTATACTTTGTCTCTTGGGGATATCTAAGCTTCTCATAGATGTTAGATATTTTGTCTAATGTAAATGAGAAACTTTATAAATAAAAAATACCTAAGCAATTTGATTGCAATAGTAGAGAACATGTTTCAGAAATTACCAAGTTAAATGAGCACTACATTGATCATATATAGCCATTGGACATTTAATTTTTAGAAAGGCCTGAAGCCCATTAAATTTACCACTCAATTGGCTCTCGCATACCTTTGTCAAGATGATTAGGACTATGATTTTTTATCAATATTGATGAAAAAAAGAACCTTAAATATTAATTATTTTACTTAAGCTTTGAGTTAGAAATTTTAAATGATTTGGTGGGAAATTTTAAAACGGTATATAAATATACCACCATAATTTGAAATCGATTTTAATTCATAGAATAAATTAGTATCGTATTTATTTCTGTTGTGAGTGAGGTAAATAAATGTAATTTAAATTATATATGCGATAAGAGGTTGAAATGAACGTATTATATGATAGTCATAAAACAGTAAATATTTTTTTGCCCCTTCCCAGCTGCGTATCCCGACTGCTTAATATTTATTTTCTCATTCGAAATCCACGGAAGTAAATATTGATTTTTATATGTTTGTTTTTAGTTTGTCAAGAACTGCAGAAAAAATTAATCGCATTGTTGGGTCCACAAAACATCATGTCCTTGGCTCACGTAAAATCAATAAGCGAAGCACTTGAGGTTCCTCATCTTCAATACAACTGGGATCATACCAGCACAAAATTGTCCCATATATCTTTAAACCTCTTCCCGCAGAGCGAAATTATGAGTCAGGCTTTTTTGGACGTTATTATCAAATGGCAATGGAACGATATCATAATATTGTATCAAAATTATACGGGTAAATTACATTTGTTAATGATTTTTGTTATATTTGTCCAATCAATGAGATTCTTTAACAATCATTATTTTTGCTTTTAGCTTTAATAAAGCTCCAAAGCATCATCAAGGAACCTCCTTCCGAAACAATGAAAGTCCGTGTCATAAACGTCAATAATTCAACATACTTGAGAATTATGAGGATGGTAAAAAGTATGAGGTGGTCGAATATAATCATAGATGGTTCACCGTGGTTCACCGAAAGATTATTAAAAACAGTATATATCGTATTATATTTTATTCATTAAAAATACCTTAATATGTTCAGAAGGAGTTCAGCAATGTTATCATGTAATCCCATCCACTTGATATTATTAGATTCAATTATTTTTTTTAAAAAAAGATATCATACTAAATATAGGATTTATGCCTTATTTATCTAAGTTAAAGTACCATTCCCACAACCTTAAGATTCTTCTTATAAAATAGTAGAAGCGATTTGGTTATAGAAATTTTTGCATTTATTTACGAAATAATTTCTTTTAAATTTTATAAACTTGGTATTTAAGTAATAATCCTTGATTTTTATCAATATTTTACTTATCCTCCCTCACTATCTATCTATTTTACTGCAAGTCAAAATAAAACAAAAAAAGAATATAAAATTTTAATTATTTTTTTTTGCACTTTCAAGCCTTTTTCTTGCTTAATTTGATATTTGATATTTTTTTTTACAATTTTAAAATATGATAAATATTTTTTTTCAGATAACAAATTTAAAAATTTTAATTTTTATGTCAATGTTAGATTTTCGTGAGTGATAATTTTGAAAATAAAAATATTATAAATAAATTTAGTAAACCTTTTGTAGTAAATTTTTTTTTGCAAAAAATTTTTTTTTATCTTGAGAGGATTAAAGTAAAAAACTTAATATATTTTCTATAGTAATAAAAGTATTTTTTTAAAAATAGCCTAATATTTTTTAGACTTTAAATTATCATCATATACAAAAGTATATTTTATAAAAAAAATTTTAGTACTCGAATGACATTGGTATTATCTGTAATTCCATTTTATAGCGATTTGATGAGTAGAATCGCTATAAAATTTTAATAACAAAATACTATATGGTCGTCTAATTTATTAAGTTAAACTACTCAGGACGCAATAAGTGAATATAGTTTAAACCAAAAATTAAATTATCATAAATCCGATAATATTCAAATTTTATGAAATATAAATCCCAAAATATCCGAATTTGATTTATGAAATATCATTTGAACCTACTAGCCCTGAATCAGGGATGAGTTAATACATCCTCAGGGCTAATCTAATCAAGTGGGTTATTATATTTTTTAAATATATTAGGCAAAAAATTAACAATATTAGCGGAGAATCCAAATGAAGATCATATTCTCACATTATAAAATATTTCATTATATTGTCCTAAATCTAAAATAAGTTGCTGTTAAGATACAACCTAATATAGCGACGCCAAATATTTTATTTTGATCTAAAGAACACATTCTATCATAAATGTCTAAATAAGTGACTGCTCCATCAAGAAAAATTCTGCCCAAAAGAATACATTATATAGTATATATGAATTCCATGTTATAACAAAATTTACGAATCTAAGCTTTCGCTTTATACATTAGTCTTAACATGCAAACTAGCCCGTCCCTTATCCTAAGTATAGAAAAAAAAATAAGATAACGGATGGGATACACTGACCTATACTTATTTTAAAATTATATAAAATATGTTTCATATATATCTTTATAATATTGTTATTTCAAAAAGGCTTTGCAGTTAGAGATGATGAACGAACATTACCATTACTTCTTGACAGTGCTAGTAAAATATGATCAATCATTTTATAATTATCTTTTAAACAAAGGATGTTGAAGCCATGAATTTAGAAGATTATAAATATAACGGAGTAAAGCTGAATGGATATAAAATCTTCTACGATCCCTATATGAAAACGCTCTGGAATAAGTATGGGTTAACCTCCAAATACCAAATGGCTTTATCCACTTCTCAAATGAGCAATAAAGATTTACACGTAAAAAATTATACTAAATCCCCCTTCCTCCCTTCCAATCATTATATGAAGCATTAACAAATTTAATTTGTTTATCATTTTTTTAAACAAAATCCTGTTCGATCTAGACGGAGGCAGCCATGATATATGATGCCATACTAGTCCTCGCCCACGGATTACAATTGGCGGATAAAGGGAGTTCTCTTACAATTCCTAACATATCGTGCGATAGACAAAATCCAACGGAGTACGGAACCAGCTTATTAAATTATATGAACTCAGTACGAAAAATCTCTTATCATTTTCTAAATTAATTAAATAACGATATGTAATTTTTTTTTCTTAGGTAGAAATAACTGGTTTGACGGGTCCGATTAAATTCAAAAATGGAGTCAGATCATATATTAATCTCGATCTCATGGAACTTGGGGAGAAAGGTTTGAACAAGGTTATAGCAAAGAAACAATATTATTTTATTTTTATTTTTAAAAATGTCTTTACTTTGAATGTATAAATTAAATTATAAAATGTGTATTTATTTATTGTTGCGGAATAAGATAGGATACTGGACACCAAATGATGGAATCAAAATCATAGCCAAACAAGAAGATTTTAGGTACACGCAAAAAATGATCTCGAACAAAAGTTTCATCATAACTTCTATATTGGTATGTTACATCTATCATTATGGGGAATATGTACATGGTGTTTGCATCACGATTTAGCGTTTTGTATTTAGAAATTATTGGTGTCATAAAAATCTTTTTATAATTAAAATAATAAATTTAACATTTTCCTGAATATAAATTTTCTTCACGTCCATTGATCAAAAACCTGAATGGTATTTATTTTAAAACCTTTTAATTTTCCAGATTGCTTTCAATTAATTTTTGATTTTTGAGGCCGGCCCGGGTTTTTTTATATTTTTTAGACACAGCTTGATTTCATTTTTAAATTGATCATTTCACTGTGTTCATGATTTTAAAGGGAAATTGAAAATATGAAGAAGCGAATGAATGTTTAAATAATCCAGCATGTGATTTGGGGTTGGTGAATTTTTTTTTTAATTCTAATTTTTGAGCAGGTGTTTTGTAAATAATACTTATTCATTATGAACCACAGGCAAAACCCAAAAGATTAGTAGACATTGTAAATTAGTAGTTAGTAATATTCTCATTAGAGGTAGGTACAATCCGGCCCTAAAGTCCGAATAAGTTGTGAAAATAAAAATATATTTCAGTACGCGCCAATATATTTAAGGCTAATAAACTAGGTAAATTCAAGTCGTTTTTCTTCATAAAAAATTATTAAGGGACTTATAACTATTACGAGCCTGGTTGAGTAAAAATAATTACGGGCCGAGTTCAAAAAAAATCAGGTAAAAAAATTTTACCAGCCGATCTCTTAGTTCATTTTACCATTTTAGTTTCTAAAATTTGCATTAATTAGGGAAAACAAGTTTTTAATGTAATAATAGCAACTGCTCTTCTTGAGAATCAAGACTTTACAGATTAGAGGAATCTATTCAGTTTTAACACCTGTAATAGAGCGAACTTCGGTCACAATTATGTCATTAGACAAAATCTCATTCACTTTGTTATGTAACATCTTTATAACGATTATTTTTAAATTATTATATTAAACAAAATGAAGCGACCTTTGGTTATCACGACGATTCTGGTAATAAAAATATATCATTTATTTTTAAAATCTTCATTTAACGACTAGGAGAGCCCATATGTGATGCACAGTAAATGCCATAAAGATAATAGTTGCGCTACAGAAAACGATCATTTTGAGGGCTTCTGTATGGATATGTTAAGTAAAGTGGCCCGAAAATTAGGATTTAAATACAAAATAATTGTGGTTCCTGACGGGAAATACGGTGCTCCAGACCTTAACGGTGACTGGACGGGCATGATAAGAGAGTTGATGGATAATGTAAAAACATTTAATATCTTTTAATTCAATTTTTTTTAGAGAGCCGATCTAGCGGTTGCGCCTTTGACTATCAATTGGTTACGAGAACAAGTCGTGGATTTTACCAAGCCATTTATGTCATTAGGTATCAGCATCCTATTCAAGCTTCCAGAAAAATCGAAACCTGGTCTATTTTCTTTCCTGAACCCCTTATCTTTCGAGATTTGGGTCTATGTCATAGCCGCCTACTTGGGGGTATCAATTTTTTTGTTTGCCTTATCCAGATTTTCTCCCTACGAATGGGTTAACACTCATCCACCCTGTTGCGTAGCCCAGTATTTGTATAACAATAATTTTAATTGCGATATTTTCACCTCGGAAACGAATTCTAGTAGTTATTCGGGAAACAAAAAGTTTAGCCTGGTAAAGAAATCGGTAGTTGACCCTTTTGCTTATCTCAATGACCACGATATTTCGAAAATAAATAAAAATTCTGGGAATGGCACGCATTCCGGTAGCCCGTTTTATGATGATATCGATTGCAAGGAAAAGGATTTTATTAGGAACAGGGTTTCTATCCAATCTCCGCATAACTTAGGACTTAAAATACTCAAGGATTCGATGATAAAAGAAAATGAAAATCACGACGAAACCTCTGTAAAAGACTCGGCTAAAAATATGAGGATCGATATATTCCAACCATCGATTCTGAACGAGAAAATAAGAAACCGTGAATATTACGAGCCTCCTATAGTGGAAAATAGATTCAATCTCATGAACAGTTTGTGGTTCTCATTAGGCACTCTAATGCAACAAGGTTCGGATATCAGCCCAAGCGCAACTTCCACACGTATCATAGGCGGAGTGTGGTGGTTTTTTACTTTGATCCTAATATCTTCTTACACAGCGAACCTAGCAGCATTTTTAACGGTTGAAAAAATGGTAAGTCCTATAGAAAGCGCCGAGGATTTGGCTGAACAAACCGTGATTTCTTATGGAACTCTAGCTTCAGGGTCAACATTTACCTTTTTTAAGGTCTATAAAAACATGGACACATTTAAACTTTCTCCTTTAATACTTCACTTTGAAAACAGTTTATTTTCTCATTTTACCTCTCATCTTATAAATTTGATAAATTGCAGATAAAAAAAAAGACCTGTTAGTAGTGTTGTTAAAAGCTCGATTTGGCCAAAATATTATTACGCAAGCCTCGTGAATAGATGTGAAAACCTTTCTGCCATCTATGAAAAAAATCTTCAGGCTGGCCTAATATTAGTCAGCCATTTTAATAAATTGAGCCATTTATTACCTATTGGAAAATTTAATTATTTTTTTTTTACAAAACAAACCCATTTAAAAAAATAATAAAATAAACAATATTAATACGCAGAATGCAAAAGTTAATCTGTTTCAAAAAATGTGGAGATTTATGGAAAGCCGTCCACATGTTTTTCCTCAAACTCAAGATGAGGGAGTAAAGAAAGTGATGGATGGGAATTATGCTTTTTTCATGGAGTCAACTACGATAGATTATATCATACAAAGGAATTGCAACCTTACCCAAATAGGAGGTTTGTTAGATTCAAAGGGATACGGTATAGGGACTCATTTAGGTAAAAAGAACCATAAATTACTTTTGTTTTTTGGGGGAATAATTTGAAATATTTATCCAGGATCGCCGTTTAGGGACCCCATATCCTTAGCGATTTTAGAAATGCAAGAAAATGGGCAAATAACGCTACTTTACAACAAATGGTGGAAGAACATAGGTGTGACTTGTCACCGAGATGCGATTTCAAAAGAATCGAAGGCGAGCGAATTGGGCTTAGAAAATGTGGGCGGTATATTCGTAGTTTTATTAGGGGGGATAGCTTGTTCCTTGGTCGTGGGCATAATCGAATTCATGTGGAAAGCAAGAAAAAATGCTGATAGCTACAAAGTTAGGCATTAATATTTTATTGTATAAAGAACATTTTTTCTCTTAGTAATTTATACTGCCACTTTTTTTTCATAATTAAAAATAAAAAGCAATCAGTTTGTTCCCAAATGGGAGAGGAGTTAAAATACGCGATAAGGTGCAAAGACTCCCGACAAAGACCTAGGCTTAAAAGGCAGTGTTCCCAATGCAACAATACGTCTTCCAATGCAGCTCACCAATACATCGTAAACACTAACCATGAAAACGTCAATGATGGATTGAATGTCAGCGTTGATTTCAGCGAAAAAATGGACGTCTTATTTATGAAAGAAAACGAAATCGATTCGTTTTGCAACGACGATATCACGAAAATTGTTCAAAATGATATCCTCATGAATTATTACAAAGCATGATATTAATCTTATATTATATATATAAATTTTTTAAAACACCCCAGTTTAAATAAAATGGATTTGTGTAAATAATCATAAACAATTTTTCATTTAATATTTAAAAAATAATTTTTTCATTTCTATGAAATAAATGAGCCACTAACTATGTACTTTTATAGTCGGAGAAAGGTGCCAAGTTCAAACTCATATCGATTAATTTACATTATATAAAAATTTAAAATTATAATTGTTCAAGTTATAATAAAGTGTGATTGATTGATTTTTTTTATATTCAAATAGTTATTTGATATCAATTTTATTTATTATACACAAATAACAAACATAATAATAAAAAAAATTGTATATTTAATTAAATCGTAGCATTAACTAATGAATATATATATCGTTTCATGTAAGAATCGTAATTTGACAATTTTTCAATCGCTATCCAAAAATTGACCTCCAGCATCTCCAAACAATTTGTGGTGAATTTTTTTCATTTTTTTAGCCAAAGCCACATCGTCTTCAATGGATTCAACAACTGAAGATTTGGTAACCGGGTTCAATTTTATTCTTTTAGGCTTATGACCAAAATAAAAAAAAATCGATGTAATGTTATTAATTATAAATGAATTCAAAAAGGAACTGCATAGGGGGAATAGATACTTCTAATTTATTTAAGCGTAAAAATTGTATAATTTAAATAAATACGTAATACAAGTTTTTTTTTTGTTAAATATTAGAGCCCTGACAGATTTCCCTTGTGGTTCAGTCGACAATTGACTTCAATTTTTTTTTATTCGGGCCAGATATAAATAGCCTATGGCCAAGTCCTTGACAAAAAAGTTTGTTATTTTCCTCAGGCGCAAAAAAAAATTTTTTCGTTCAAAATTGGATGAAACCTATTTCTTAAAATAATACTTTAGAACCTTCGAGAACAAAAAGTAATGGCAAAAGGAAATTTATTAATTAATTTTCTTTTTTAAAAAAACTTTTTTTAACGAATTTGAAACATCACCGGATTGGGAACGTTTCTTTGTTCCGGATTTCAAAATTTTGCCCTTCTTTACACCGTTAATATTCGTATTCGAGATTATTTTCTTGGTTAACGACTTATCGACCATTTTCTTTTTAGGTTTTGCATCGTCAACGGGTCTCTTATTCTTTCCGACAATCGATTTATTTTCATGGCGAGATTCATTGTTCTTCACAAATTTTATGGCTCCGAATGCCTTTTGTCTTTGTTGTGTAACCTTATAATTCAAAAAAAATAAAAGAATAGAGCTCATTCCTAATTCATTCACTCTTCAACTTTTTTGGAACGAATTAATGTAAATTGCTGTTTTTCTTAACGCTGTGATAAATAGTTGATTTAAAAAAAATGAAATGTGGTCAAAATTGAAATTCCACTTTAGGCCTAAAGAAAAAGAAGAAGAAGAAGAAGAAGAGAAGAGAAGAAGAAGAAGAGAAGAAGAAGAAGAGAAGAGAAGAGAAGAAGAAGAAGAAGAGAAGAGAAGAAGAAGAGAAGAAGAAGAAGAGAAGAGAAGAAGAGAAGAGAAGAGAAGCAGAGAAGAAGAGAAGATAGAGAAGAGAGAGAAGAAGAGAAGAGAAGAGAAGAGAAGAGAGAGAAGAGAGAGAAGAAGAGAAGAGAAGAGAAGAGAAGAAGAAGAGACGAGAAAAGAAGTAAAATTATTGGAGAGGGGAATACGCTTTTTCGTAAACAAAAAAAAAGAATAGGAAATGTATAACTCACAATTCTTTTATTTTAAATCAAACATTTAAGCCACTCTCCCAGAAATAATTTAATATATCACCCATCAACCTTATAAAGATACAATAGTTCCTTTTTTTTATCTCATGTATAAATTAAATACCTACAATATAAATAACTATATATATATATATATGACAGAGACCTGGCTTGACCTGGGTAAACAGGTCATGTAGTATTTTAATTTTTTTAAATATGCCCGGGCCAGGCCTGAAATTTTTTTTTTAAACCTGGGCCAGGCCTTATATTTTAAAACCAAATATTTTAAATCGCCATTAGCAATAAAAATTAGAAATAAGTAAAATATATTATAAAAAAATCCAGACCAGTTCTGAAAATATAAAACCTGGGCCGGGCAAAAAATCTTTTTTATAAAAAAAAATCAGGGCCAGGCCATAAAAATGGTTTCTCTGTTGGTCTCTGATATATATTATACATTTTAATGTAAAAAAAACTATTTGTCAAAACTCCCTATTATTGTTGTTAAAAAAGTCAGATTCGAGAATATAACCAAAATAATATTATGTAAGCTTGGTGTATTTTGGCTAAAATCTTAATTGGGCCGTTTTTAAAAATCGACCCAAATTAGGCTTTTTAAAAACACCTATAACTCTTACCCAAACTCCCCCTCTTCCCCCTCCCATAAACTAAATAATGGTGAATCAATTTTTAGAAAAATAATGGTGAATCAATTTTTAGAAAAATAAACCTTAGCCTTTTCTTGCCTCGCTTGTCGAGCATTGAGCGCCAATCGGTTAGATATGGCAAATTGAACAATAGGTCTCCTTGTACTATGTACTGTTTCGGAATTAACCTTGCCGTTGTTTTTGGAGTAGTCAGCATTTTTTGTTGTTATGTAATTGGGCGTGACTTGGTAGGCTGAAGGGTTATTGTCGAGATTTCTCAGGGCTTTCAAGGCATGAGCATGGGTAGAAAATTCGACGAACCCGTAACACATTGATGCGGGCGATTTTGACGATTTAGGAAGAGGGGTTTTAGTGTCCATCATTACCCTGGCCTGCATTATATAAATTGTATAATAATATACCTGCGTTAAATAGTTATCAAGTAAAGTAAATCATAGAGGCGATGGTTCGTAAAATCATTCTGGAAGTGAATAATTAACTCTTGAATGGTCAATTTATAATGTTTTCTTGTAAAACAAAACAAAAAGGTTCTATACTTCAAAAATTATGTTCAAAGTAGATGTCTACCAATTTAGAATAAAAAATTTTCAAACTGGGCCAAGCAACCTTGGGCAAAATATTTTTTCGGGCCGGGATGAGCAAAGGATTTTACATTCCGAAAACTTTTTCCAAATCTTCGATCATTTGAATCGATCTTTAGTTTAAAATCTAATGGTGAGAACCTAAACAATTTAGACCTGTTTATAATCTACCCTATACTCTCTTACTAGTTAGTGACAAGTTAATGCAAAAAAATGTTATAAATTCAGTTTTCAATAACAACGGCATATAATCCCATATTCCGACCATTCGTTTACCTCTATAATCCTAGCCTTATGGTCTTTGACGCCTGATTGAAACATCCTTCTAAGAAATTTGTTATCGACCCATTTAGGCAAATTATGAACCGTTAATCGAGTCGGTGATACGAAATAATGCAAAAGTTTGAGCTTGCTTTTGCTGGAGGCCATCAGTTTGGACCTTTTGTTGAGATCGATTTGGGATATTTGACCATAACGATTGGAACATCTTTTGATCGCTTTTGAAATGTAGAATATAATCATAAATTTCCCATTTCTAATAGATAAAAAATGCGATTAATAAATTATTCCAGTAAAAAAAAATAGGGTCACGGATATCTTCAGTGCATAAAAGTTTTGCTTAAATAACTTTTAATTACAGAAGTACAATTTTTTTTGTCTTTTATATTAATCGAAATATTACGGATATTGCCAAAGAGAAATAGAAATAATCCTTTTCGAGTATATCATTTTAACAGAATTTCAAGCAATCTCCAAAAAACTAAATTTTAAGGTTCCATAATGCTTCTATAAAGCAGACATGCTACCAAAAAACCCAACAAATGACAATCTTTTATAAATCCGAGAATAACCTCTCGGAATTTATTATGGAGAATTATCGAAAATATTAAGAAAAAACGAAAAAGTGAAAACAATAATTAGTATTTTACTTAATGATATTCCCAATATTACTCGTCAAAAACTGCTTGATAAAGAATAATAAGATTGATGATCTCAGAACACATACTCAAATACTTTTATAAAATCAAATGTCAATTATATGAAACGTATATTTAATGAACCAAATAAATTTAATCTTCCCAATAATTTTATATTCTCCGCGATTTTTATCATGTGTTTATATCCAAATAAAATTCATTAATGGATTTCTAATAAATTTATTTTTGAGTAGAACAATAAATTAAGTTATTTAAAAACTTACAACAATTTTTATCTTCGAATAAAAAAGCCATATTTTAGAATACTATTTTTGAATATGGAACATTTTTTTTTACTTTAATTATTGAAGATATGCTTAATTATTTATGAATAAGAAAAAGAAATTGTCTGTCATATTTTTTTTTCATCTTCATGCGATCAAATTATTCGAAATAATTTGTAAATATTTGAAATTATTCTAAAGTATTTAACATGTTCCTTGTGGAACATTTTTCTCCCCCATACATATAAATCATTTTTTTTAAATGTTAAAATTCCATTTTTTCATATTTTTTTTGAAAATATTTTTAAAAAAATTTAATTTCCGAATCGAATAATGCAAATATAATTGTGAATAATACAGAGTATGAAAAAAAAATATCTTTGAATATTTTTTTCGATCAAATTTTAACCTAAAAAAATGCCAAAACCTTTCGTAATATTTATGCACAAAATAATCCTTCAAGATAAAATAAAATCTTTTGAAAAAAAATATGCCTATTTTGAATATTAGCCTTATATTATTTGTATTTGTTTGACGTAGAATTGGGTTATTTTTCCTTATTTTGGCCCTGATATCTGCAAAAAAATTAACTTAGTGTCAAAATCGAAAGTTAGTTAGCCAAAACATGATTGAGGAATGGCATCTTAAATGATCATACAATCCCCCCCCCATCTTACTTTTTCTTTAAATTAAAGATCAGATTATAAAACAAATAAATATTCCATTTTTTTTATTCTTCTTATGGACAACTTACAGCTTTCGATAAGTAAATGCAAATTGCGTTTATCTTTCTCTTTAAATTTCTTTGATATGCCGTCATACTCGTTAACGAATTCGCCGACAGTTGTAGCGGATTCCAAATCCGTGGCGAGCGGTTTTTTATATCTAATCACCAAAAATAAAATCATATTAAAATAAATGGATTATACTTTTGATAACGATTGATATATTTCAAATATTAACTGTAAAGTAAGTGAGGGAGATAAATACCTATGGGAAAATTACTAATTCCATATTAATTTTATGTGATGGAATATTAGAACAAGTGCGAAATATTTTAAAAATTAAGTGAGAAAAATTTTTATATTTATTATATATACAATATAGGAACTAGTTAAGATCTGGTAATTTTCTTGAACGTGCAGTCTTACCAGATTTTATATACGGTATATTTTATCATGGTTTAGGATTATTGAAAAGCTAAGAGTCCTTTTCACCTAGGAGCCTATCATGATCTAGTCTTCAAAGTGGATTTCGCCCTCTCCCTTACCAATTCCCTGGCTTTAAAGTGACTAATGGCCCCTCTAAGACCGTCTTGCCCCACCCTTTTATCATATTAAAAAAACACAATAATTAATTACCTATTATGTTTATCGTATCGCCTCTTCATGATGTCGTCGAGTGTATCCCTTTTAATGGCTAAACATACTTTGAGTCTCTGGTCTCGCATATATATGCCTCCTCCATTTTTGGTGCTCGTATTGTCACCAAATCCGGATTTTTGGGTGTCCAGAATTTTGAAATTCAGGGTATTTTCGTTCAACTCCTCGTCTTCATTGATGCCAAACAGAAACGCTCTTTTACGTTCGATATTACCAATATTATCATTAAGCGGTTGTTTGCTTTCAAGAAAGGCATTGCTACTAGAGATATGATTGGCTTTTTGAAGGCAATCAGTAGCGGATTCTTGCGTTTTAAATTTAACGAAACCCCGACCTAGTGGAAACAAAGAAGACGTGTGAAAATATTGATTTATGTGATACATTCTTATATTATAAAATATAAGAACAATATTTATATTCCGTATTAATGTAACAACCTTTGTGTATTTCATTGCCATTAACCGTCAATAGCAAGGCATATTCGAGAGATCCATATCTTTCAAACACCTTTTTAAAATCCTCTTGAGTAGATTCAAAGGGTATGTTTCTAAATTGTAAAAATGTTAACATGGCAAAAATATATGAGGGGATAGAAAGTATGTGGAATATTTATTTTTAATTTTAAAATTATCTTATATTATTTACTATTTAAGATATAATTTCAAAGTATTTAATATATCCATATAAAATTATATATCTTCTTCTATCTGTTTACATTTTTAAAGATATTTACCAATTTTTTAATTTATGGACTATTTATTATAGACCCTGAAAAAAAATATATTATGCTCCTAGTAATTAATCTATGCAATAAAAACTAAATATTATATTCAAAAAAAACACCGATTATATATACAGCACATTTTGTTTAAGAAACAATGGGACATGAGAGAAAATTTCAAGAGGGAAATTTTTCCATTTTATCAAAGTCGATTCTAGGGCAAAATAAACTGAAAGTATAAAAGTAAGTTTTCTGTGGGAAAAAAATCGGTGTCTTTCCCTGGCCCAGGTAATGTCAAAAGTAGCAGTAGAATGCTTTAAACTTATTTTAGCAGTTTAATAAGGAAAAATGATCTATCAAGTGTAAAAATTAAATTTATATTAAATTTTTTTATCAATTTATCTAAGCTTACATTTGTAACCTAACAAACAAGACTCAAATAAATATACAACTTTTTTTTCAATTATAAATTTTAACAATAACATTAAATATATAAGATTTTATTGATAAGATATTTAAAATAAGAAAAATTAATTTCTCACCATTTTCTAGCCCAAGTCTTTTTGTTTCTAAAATTGGATTAGACTGGGCCAAGAGAGGAAAACATTTAATGAAGAAACTGTTAAACAAAGGGGTTCATTAAAGATTAAGATCATTTCTGCATTATCACCAACAAAAATTCCATTTTTAGATTTTTTATACAACTAAAGGTTAGTGACATTACTTAATATGGAAGGCCAAGACATTATTATACTAAACGTTTCAGATTTTTTCTGTCAATAATTGTTCAATACAACCTGATATGTTTGATGATTTTGCCCTAATGGATTTTGTTATTAAAATTAGTCATTAAAAGATCTTATGCTGATCTTTTCAACTATTTTATCAGTTTTCTTCATTTTTGGTTGTTGACTTGAATATGCTTAGATATTATGTGTTAGTTAGTTATGCCTAGCCTCACTAGGTTTTTTTTTTAAATAAAGCAGTGGCAAAATTATCTGGAATAATTGTTTTACTGAAATAAACTTTCCCAACATTTAAAATATTAAATGATATGAGAATTTATTTCACACTCTTCCAATTTAATTTGGCTAAAATCATTCTCAACTCTTCTTCTATAATCTCCAGCATTACCGAGTATATTGTTCATAACATTGTCAAATATAGTGTATCCAATATCTTTGTACGAGAATAATTTTTTTATATAGTGCAAAAAGTAGAAAAAGCTACTTTTAAAAGTGGTATTTAACATTATAAAATTTATATTAACCATAAAAGTTTTAGATTCTTATGTTTAGATATATATATTTTTTTTATTTTAGGCAAATTGGTAAACTTTTATTACCTTATGAAAAGTGTCTTTTTTTCTTCCAAATCCTTTTGATCCATATGTTTTTCAGTTTTATCATCATGAATTGAATCTTTGGTAGATTTACATTTTTCATCAATAGTCAGTGTATGTTTATCATGAGTTTTTTTAATTTTTAAATATGCTTTAATCTGTTGATTCTTATTTTCGTGCTTAGTTTTGAGACCATCTAACTTTTCTTCAAAAGAATTTAAAACTTTAGTATACATAGTATTTTCATCATGTGCAGAATTTGCCTTTGTCTCGTTTAATGACTCAGCTTGATATTTTATTTTTGAAACTGACCAGTCAATTGCTATAGGTCTACCTAAATATAATATGGTTTCGTAATATTTGTATTAACATGTAACCATTTATTTCAGACCCATTTAATATTTCAATGGCTTTTTTTGCCTCTTCTAATTTAGAGAATTGAATAAATGCAAATCCACGATGTTGGTTGTGAGTTCCATTTTTAGGAAATTGGATATCATTTAATTGACCACAAATTAAAAATTTATCTTTAATATCCTTAATAGTAGTCTATTGTATTTAATAAATTAAAAAATAATTGTCATATAAATTTAACCTTAAATGAGAGATTTCTGACAATCAAGCGAAATTTTTTGTATTTAGTTAAATTTTTAACATTTTTCTTGTCTAAAAATTAGTTTTATTTATATGCAATTAATAAATTTACTAGGGTCCTTGGACAAAAATTTTGGAAAAACATTATGGGTACCAATTTTTTTAATCTTTACTTGTGCATCAATCGCATCCTTACTAAAAATAATTTTATAAAATAATATTAACTCATATCTTAACTTAGTAGTAAATGTTATATATCCTGTACTATTTGATGAATTCACTATATAAAACTTTTATTTAAATTATTAAATATCTAACTACATTTCGGTTTCAAAATATAACATCTTTTAAGAGGTCCTATATTAGAAAAGTGAATTTCTAACTCAGTTTCACTAATAGTCGAAGGCAACTTTTCTAGAATTAACGTCTTTTGCTGATCCATGATATTATTTTTTAAATAAACTACAGAAATTCATAAAATACAAAGATCGTCTTATGTTCGATTGGTAATATAATATTTGACAGGCAACGTGAGATATGATGTCAAGTGATCTCAGTAGATAGGTATAATATAATTAAGTAAAAGAAAATAATTATATTGACTGCTATATTTGATTAAACATCTTACTATTATATTTTTTATAATTTTAATTATCGAATCTTGTCAGTGTTATAAATGAGATTTATATTATATATTATCAATGTTATAAATGTCATATATATATATTATCAATGATATAAATGTCATAGATACAAATCAATCATATTAATATATTTCATGAAGTGATTGCCAGTCAAATAAACATAATTAGTATATTGGCGACGTTGTCGATGATTTATTATGAATAAAGAAGACAAAAATAAAGTAATTATGAATAAAGAAGAAAAAAATGATAACATTATGATCAAATTCGATAATTTCGATAATCAAAACAACTTTGTTGATTACATTGAATATATTGATGATATGTTGGAAATAAGAGGTATATTAATAAATAATGAAACCAAAAAAAAAATATTATTTGCGTATATGGGTATTAGTAATTTAGCTGAGATGAGGTCCTTTGTTTATCCAAAAATATTGAAAGATCTTAATTATGAAGAGATTATTGAAGTTGGTAAGAAAGTTTTTAAGCCTATTTCAACATTATTTAGCTCGAGAATTAAATTTATTCGGATAGAAAGAGGGGTTGGTGAATCAGTTGCGGAGTTTGCATCTCGACTTAAAAAATTGGCTCAAGAATGTAAATTTGAATCTGACCTAGATGGGAGATTGAGGGATCAGATGGTGGCTGGAATCAAAATGAGTGCATTGGAGAAAGATATTCGCACTAGATTTCCAGATGGAATAAATGACTTAGGAGAAATGGCGAGTTTTCAACAGGTTATAAATATGGCTTTGGCAATGGAAAGGGCTGAGGATGAAGTGACAAATATGATGGTAAAAAAAGTCAATAAACCTAAGGAGCAGATAGAGAATAATCAAGAAAATTTTTCAAATCAAAAGTACTCATATAATAATAATAACAAAGAAAAGGGTAATTTTAGTTATTACAATAATAATAATTTTAAGTTTAGAGATAACAATAAATTTAACAATAATGATATGTATAAGTTTAATAAATGCTCAAAATGTGGAAGAACTCATCCCCCTTTTCAATGTTTTGCATCAAGGGTGAAATGTTATAATTGCCAAAAGGTAGGGCATTATGCTAAATATTGTAAGGGACAGAAGTTACATGCTATGCATATAGATGACAATGATTCATCAGATTCAATTTGATACGGGGGCACAGGTATCGGTGATTGGGAAACAATATTGGGATGAAATTGGCTGACCCAAACTTGGACCAACCAAACCTTTATCAGTATATGGTAACCAACCGCTAGATGTGCTGGGTGAAACTATGGTGAGGGTTCGTCTTGGAAAGATAAGCAGATCACTACCGATTGTGGTGACCGGTTCAAATGACATTCCATTATTTGGACTACCATGGATACTGGCATTTAATATGTTTATTCCACGACAAGTGACTATACGTAGTATCACAAATAAAGAGGTTATGACAACCAATAAACAAATTGCTGGCATGACAACAGAATTTATTAGTGTTTTTGATGACAAGCCTGGACGGGTGATTGATATAGAAGTTAGCATACATTTGAGTGAGGCAGCAAGGCCGAAATCATGGCCAGCTCGTAGAGTACCTTTTCCATTACGAAAACCAATTGAAATGGAACTCGATAGATTGGTTAAATCAGGAATATTGAAGGCGATTGATCCAACACAAAAACGATTGACATGGGCCACTCCAACGGTAAACATACGAAAAACAAATGGAGAAATCAGGATTTGTGCGGATTTTAAGGTGACATTAAACCCATATATTTTGTACGATTATCATATTATACCAACGGTGGATGATCTTTTAACCAAATTAAAAGATGGATTGAAATTTACGGTAATAGATTTGAAAGATGCATATTTACAATTACCAATAAAAGAAAGTTCAAAAGAATACTTAACCATATCGACCCACATTGGTTATTTCCAATATCAATGTATGCCTTTCGGTCTTTCTAGTGCGCCGACCATATTTCAAAGATATATGGACAATTTATTACAAGACTGCCAAATGACTGGAGTATATCTTGACGATATTATCATAACGGGGAAAAATGATTTAGAACATTTGAATAACGTAAAAACATAAAAAAAGTACTAATGAAACTAAAACAGGTGGGTATGAAGGCAAAATGGGCCAAAATACGTTTTTTAAATGAGTCAGTTTCTTTTTTGGGTTTCATAATAGACAAATATGGAATACATCCAGCGAAAGAAAAAATAGATGCTATTCGAAGGATACCAACTCCTAATAATATACACCAATTACGATCTTATTTAGGACTTGTGAATTATCACGAGAGATTTTTGCCACATCTACATGGAATTGCTGCTCCTCTGCATAAATTAACAAGCATTAAATCTTGCTGGGGTTGGTCGGACAAGGAAAAGAGGTATTTGATAAAATAAAACAGCTTTTGTCAACAAATAAAACGCTAATTCCATATTCGCCAAACTTGCCAATTATATTGGAATGTGACGCTTCCAACACTGGTTTTGGAGCTGTGTTATGTCATTTAGTGAAAAAAGATATTAGCAGACCAATCGCATTTGCCTCGAGAACACTTCTAGAGTCAGAGAAAAATTATGCACCAATAGAAAAAGAGGCACGAGCACTTTTGTTTGGTATGGAAAAATTTCATACATTCATTTTTGGTCGAAAATTTTTATTACGAACAGATCACAAACCTTTGGAAAAATTATTTGGTGATAAACGGGAACTACCAAAAATATCCAATAGTCGATTAACGCGCTGGGCTTGGAAAATGTCCGCATATGATTTTGATATTGAATATGTTCCTGGAAAAGATAATAAAGTAGCTGATACATTATCTAGACTGCCAATAGATGGCATAAAATAAAATAATGATCAAAACGCGTTAAAAATTAGAGCTATAAATTTGCACGATATAAATATTAGTCAAGTTGAACTCCAAAAGGGAACAAGGAATGATAGCTTGTTTAAAAAAGTAGTTAAAAATATTGAGCATGGATGGGTGGATTTCGATGCGAAAAAAAATACAGAGTTAGTTTGTTTTTATAATCGTAGAGAGGAATTGTCAGTAGATCATGATGTTATTGAATGGAATGGGAGGTTGGTAATTCCAACCATTTTGAGGAAATCAATTTTAACGATTATACACAGAGGGCATCCAGGAATAAATGCTATGAAATCAATTTTTAGAATGTATTGCTGGTGGCCGAATTGCGATAAAGATATTGAACAATATGTTCGTCAATGTATGCCTTGTCAAAGTAATCGGTCGAATATTATGGAGGTTCCTTTATATTCGTGGAACATATCTAATATACCATGGGAACGAATTCATTTGGATTTCGCGGGGCCTATTGATTCGTATTCATGGTTAGTTGGAGTTGATGCACATACTAAATGGGCGCTGAGGTTGAGTTAATGAGAGAGACCACGTCCACGACAATGATCAGGGTTTTAAGGAAATGGTTCGCACGGTTTGGAACACCTAGAAAAATCGTATCAGATAATGGACCTCAATTTATTTCTGGAGAATTTCGAAAATTTTGTTTCGAGAAAAATATTAAATTGATACATATAACACCGTACCATCCAAAAACGAACGGTTTAGCGGAAAGAACGATACGAACCCTCAAGAGTCGATATTTTGCAACTAGGAAAGACATCAGGGAGCCCGAGGAAGCCATGGGAGAAGTTTTGCTAGCATATAGAATGGGTGAGCATCAATCAACTGGACGTTCACCGGCTAAGTTATTATTGGGGCGAAATTTAAAAACGGGATTGAATTGGTTACGTCCTAATGTTAGTTATGAAATGGAACGATCGAATATAAGACAAAAAGTAGCGCATGATGAACATAGTCATATGAGAGAATTTGAGATTGCACAACCGGTATGGGTGCATAATGAAATAAATTCAGGTTGGAGAGAAGGAATTATAAAATCCAGAACTGGCAGATATTCTTATTTGGTAGAAAGCAAGGATAGAATGGTACGAAAGCATGCGGATCAACTTCGAAAAAGGGAGGTAGCTAAAGAAATGGAGAAGTCTGGGCCAGGGAAAGATAATGGAGAAAATATGGAGTCAGAGAGAGAAGAGGAAAATATAAAAAATAAAGAGTCGGATATAGTTGAGATTTTAGAAAATGTGGAAGATAACGGAAAACTAGAAACGCGGAAATCACAAAGAGCCAGGAAACCTACAAAATTGAGGAATTGTAAGATCATATGTGTGGGGATATGTTATAAGTGAGATTTATATTATATATTATCAATGTTATAAATGTCATATATATATATTATCAATGATATAAATGTCATAGATACAAATCAATCATATTAATATATTTCATGAAGTGATTGCCAGTCAAATAAACTTAATTAGTATAGTCAGTTACTTGATTATCGCAAACCCTTGATTCCACATCTCTATTTTTATTAACCATATATGAAAATGTAAAAGTCGAAGGCGTTAATTACATTTTTCTGGCGGATATGGGGGGGGGGGGGCTTGTAAAAAATTTATGTCAGAGGCTAGTTTAATTCATTATATAAATTTGTTTAGCAACATTTATCTAACAAAATTCTAATCCAATATCAAATTTATTTCATCAAAAATAATAATATGATTAAAAATGATATTAATAAAACATAGATTTGTTGATTGCTGATTTTTGGTTCAATAAAACGAGTTACTTCTCTAATAATTTATAGAAGGCAGATGATTATATAACAAATTTAATATATTTTATTTGTTTTAAATTCTTTATTATAAAAACATTTTAAAAATTTTAATTCTAAATCCTACTAAAATTCGTAGGATATATATTTATATTTTATTTTATAATTATTTACATATACTAAA